GTTGATACAAGGGTTTCAAATCTTTGAGGTCTCCTTTGCTATCGCAGGACTCCAGTCTCATTGTTTTAGAAGTATTCTTAAGGTAGTCGTGAGTCTTGTCTCGACACCATAAAGTTCCAAAATTTGATTTGATTTTCCTTCTCAGGTGTTTTGACTCATGTTACTATTTATTTATATACTGAGTATGTTCGTAAGGTGCATGAGTTTCAGTTTATTATTTGAAGAACTCATCAATATAAGCTTTTTTATGCATGTGATAGTCTTTCGATAATTAATTAGTCAGGCCAAGAATTCACTTGAATATCAACAATTAATTAACATTTTAGTTTAAGTTTTTTTTTTTTTGAGTTAGGACAAGTGTTTAAATGGTTAGGCTAAAAAGAAAGAATAAGGTTTTGGGGGAGTTCCCACCATCAATCACGTGGATTAATCACTATCACAAACGTTTTATTCTTAGTGGGGTTAATGACCCACTAAAGCAAGTGTCTTTCCAACAATAATCCCCTATTGCTTTAGTCTTATAATTAAAAAGTGATTATATTAATCATTGATTGAACTTTGTTTTGATACTTTAATCCTTACATTCTTCACCTTCAGCTCAACCACGTCTTTTCAAATTTATAATATTCATTCCCCTTCTATTTAATTATATTCGATGATCCAAAATACTCTCTATTTATTTTTATCAATTCACTATTTAAAACATATTTTTATCAAAAAATCATGTCTCATAACATATAGTTATTCTGCAAACCATCTTACGAAATTTAACTAAATATTAATTAATAGAAATAATGTGGTAAAAGAATCTTACCAACTATTATTATTAATATTTTAGGATTCGAAACCTAAAGGGAAAGAAAAAGTGCCAAAAATTTTAAAGGGATAAATCAAGTTTATTTAAAATCAAAAGGTAAAATCGCTTCTAACGTAGCGATTTTGTTTTCACGACGTTAAGTTTGTTAAAAGTCAAAATCGCTGACATACAGCGATTTTATTCACAAAAAAAAAATTCCTTTTTTTAAAACAAAATCGCTGCCCATACAGCGTTTTGGGGAATTTCTTTTATATAGAAATAAAATTGTTGCCTAGACAGCAATTTAAGTAAAACTTTTTTTTTTTGGAAAATCGCTGCCAAGGAAGCTATTTATGTGGATTTCTTTTCTTTTTTATTTTTAAATCTTGGCAGCTTCTTTAGTTAACAAATTTTCATTAAATTATCGCTGCCAATTTTTTTAAGTAAATCATATTAAATGTTGATGAAGTTTTTTTAAAAAATAATTTTACGATTTTTTACAAAAATTGTCACTGATTTTCTTATATAAAAAAAAATTCCACCAAGTTGCGATCTTTAATTTTAAAAAATCAAGAAAGTCACAACCAAGAAAAAAAAATCACTAAAACGCTGCCTTTTTTAAAAAAAAAAAATCTTAATATACATAAGCTGCAATTGCAGTGATTTAAAAAAAACACTTAAAATTGTAATACGATTTTTATTTTGATCAAATAAAAAAATCACCAATATTTAATATGACTTTTTTTAAAAAATAATTGGCGACGATATTTTTATAAAGAAAAATTTTGTAGAAGCAGATTTTTTTATTTAAAAGAAAAACTTTTGTAAAAATGCTGATTTTGATTATTTTTTTAAAAAATCACCTACATTAAATACTTTTTTTTAATAATAATTAGCAGCTATATTTTTAAAAATATAGTTTTCTTTAATAGCTGCCAAGGCATCAATCTTGAAAAAAAAGAAAAAAGAATTCCACGAAAATTGCTAACAAGGCAGTGATATTCTAAAAAAAGAATTGTTTTTATATAAAAATGCTACAATCGCAACTATTTTAATTTTTTCAAAAATAAAATTTGCCTAAAACGATGCATGATCAACGATTCTCTTAAAAGAAAAAGAAAAAAAATTAACAAAATTGTTGGTAGATCAGCGATTCTGAGAAATTTGAGACTTAACGACGTCAAAACAAAATCGCTGAATCAATAGCGATTTTGCCCTTTTGGTTAAAAACGAAATTGATGTATCCCTTTAAAAATTTTGATAGTTTTTTTTTACCTTTGGACTTCGAACTCATATAATATGTGTGTTAAATTCATATGACAAGTAGAGGGACAAGTTTAGAAATGTTATAAATCTATTGTGTTATGTGGATGATCCATTAGAGTTATTCAACAATTAATTGGATTAATGTATTAGTGTTTCCAATTTGATAAGATTCCAAGATGATATGAATCTTGATGATAATTATGTATAATTCTAAGGTGACCTTTGACTATGATATCTCAACACTATAAATAGAGATATTATTCATCATTGTATATGCTTGAATAAGAAGAAAGTCTTATCTTCCATCTTACTTCTCGTGTCTTCATCTCTTTATATTTATATTGTCATGAGCTTTATTTTATAACAAGAAATTAAAAAAAATATAATTAATTACTACATTTGTACCTCAATTTTACTCAATAAATGTGAAGAGATTATTAATGTGACGAAAAAAGTGAGAGTTATATTTAGATAAAAATAAATACATAAATAAATAAATAGGAATAATTCAATGAAATTACTTTTTCAATAATTTTAGGAAACATGAAAAAAGAAAAAAACTCAAAATATAATTAATGTCAACAATAAACGCCATAGGCGGCAGCAAGCTTCTTCAAATGAGAACTCAAAATATTATTAACCTAATGATTAAAGTATACAAAAAATGTGGTTACTATATATATGTGTATAAAATATGAGTCTTAATACGATTGTACTTTTAATGTCAACAGTTTCAATATTTATTTATATTTATATACTTATTATTTCATAAAAGAAAGATGTCAGGTGCTCGTCAGCTTTCTCTGGGTTTTTGTTGGGTGCAAAGTCTTAGTCATGCATCCAATTATTTAATAATATGGTTTTTTTATTAAATAATAAGCTACTAGCTGTTTGATTAATGACTTAAAGTATGTTTGCATCTTAAAAGTCTTTTTCATTACGTCTTTCTATGCCAAATTTTAATAAATTATGCTTTTCGAAATTTGTCTCTACTTGATTGTATGTGTAAGATGACCTAATAAACGTTGAATATATGACTCCATAAATAGACGGTGGAGTTTGCACCTTAAATATAATATTCGTGTTTCAACTTATTAAACATGAATTCCAATAAATATATATATATATATATATATATATATATATATATCAAACATATCATAAAATGTAGATAAAATTAGAGTTATAAATAATTCCGTTGGAACTCATTTCGCGGTTTACTTTATAACTTTTAATATGCAGAAGTTATATTCTATATAAAGTTGAATAAATAGATATACGCATCATGCATGATATTTTGAATCATATGTGTTATCTTATGGGTCTTATCAGTACAGAGCCATCATAGCTTTAGATGTTCATCCGAACCTCCTTAGATGAAAAATTGTATTATTTTTAAATAGTTCAAATAATTATTTTAGATTTATATAGTAGACGTGGAACCTCTTCAATTACTTTGTGATTTATTTCTTTAGATTTTCAACTCCTTATCAAAAATTCTGACTCTATCTCCGAATCTTATATCATGCATTATTTATTCAAACTGTATCTGAATTCTAATATAGTAAGTCAAAATACAACTATCTTAAAATAAGAAGTTAGGACTATGCTGGAGAAAGAAAAAATTGACGATGACATTGTGCAATTGTATAAGAAACAATAATGGTTGGATTAGTGTAAGTGTGATGTTTATGACGTTGAACTTAATGTTTTTTGTCGACGTTTTTGGGAAGAGTAATCTGAAGTTGCGGCTCCCATGTCTGTTCAACTACTTTCTGATGTCTAATTGTCGGATCTTCTTTTAACTAATTTCTATTTTTTTCAAATGTTTGTTGTTAAGTTTCTTAGTTTCAACTTATTTATATTTTTTATTTAAAATAAATAGTATTTCACAGTTTAAAAAAAGGTAATTTTTTGTTTCTTAAAAAATACAATACTAAAAAGATACTAAAGAATAACATTTTTTTTGGTAATGTACTATTTATTAAGAGAGTGAGTAAATCATGATTCAACTAATTGGATTGTACAGATACCTATTTTAATATTTAGATCGGAGAATTCTTGTCCCAAATAGGGACGGTAAATATGAAAGTAAACAAATTAAAAAGATATAGCTCCCGCCATGAAGGAAGAGGAGTAGAAGTTAATGGAGATAAACTTTGTCTTCACCTATGAAACATCATTGAATCATTCAACCAGACTATGTCAAGTGTCATAAAAAGAATAGTATCAATACAAACAACATGATAGACCCAAAATCTCAAATTGACCACATAATATCATGCAAATAATCAAATAAGCATACAACTTGAATATAGAATTAGGACCCCTATATTCACCACTCTTACTACAAGCTATGTAGCATTACCTCGAAATTCATACACTCTACCTTAAGTAACCTCATCTCCTTCCACTATCAAATCCTCCATCTAGGTCATCTCACCCTCGTGTCATATCATAACCTAATCATTTCTATCACATAGAGATTCCTCAAATATAAGACCATTACTATCTCCATCAATCGATCAATCTACTATTCTCCCTCGATCTCTCATGTCAACACTTGTCGCTTGACAAATTTAGTAAACCACCTACAAGACACTTACTAAATCACCTTGAATCAAATTCCCCTAATCAAATATGTCCCAATCCACCCAGACTGACAATATAATGCAAGTTAGTGAATAAGCAAACTCTCGATTAACATCTAACAACATTTCAGTTATACAACATATGAACAGATAATCAGAACATTGAAAAACAAACAATATAAAGAAATAATAAACAATTTGAATCCATAGAAATCAAAGTAAAACAAAACGATACACACTAATCTACCAATTTAATAAAAACCCAGCTCCATTTGCATACCCCTAAAATAAGGGTTTTAGACAATCAATTTTTAAAGTGAAAGAAAATATATCAAAATCATTCTCAGTCATCAGACTCTTGATTTGGAACTTCAATTTAAGGACCCGCTTTTGAATCTCCCAAAAATTATGGGTTACAAGCTTGTTTTTCACTTAAGAAAATAAAAAGTTCTATTGTACTAAAATTTCAGAAAGTCTCATATCAACATTGTATAACCCAAGATGTATTTTTCTCTCTTTTTGTCTATATCTATTTTCCCTAAATCGTTGCCAAAATTTCATGGAATGACCTATTCAGCGATGCTAGTCGGGTTCACCAACTCATTCAATAAGTCACGAATTGCTCTTTATTTGCCTTTTCTTGACTTCAGGATTTATGTGTTTGAACCACAGTTGACGAGCTTGATGAAGTTCGTTGTTCATATTTGGTGAGTCATTGATCATCAATCAATCACGCCTTATTAGCCTTCAATTTAACCCAATTGTTCTGTCACTTTCAGCGAGCAAATGTCATCTCGCTGACTGAGTTCAATAAATCACCGATTATTTCATCTTCTCACCGACCTGCCTTGAGAATTTTAGTCGAAGACCCTGTTATTTTTTGTGAGGTCTTGCACACTCGGCGAGTTGTCGACTGTTTTTTTTTTTTAACATCAAATTTGTGTTTTTGCTCTTCTTTCCATGTTTTAGCCTTTTTGGTGAGATTTCATCCTCATCTTGTCTTTCAACCTTCATAGCTACAATACAATAATAAATCATCATATATGGACATAAAAAAATCTTGAGGACACTATTTTTTTGAACTAAAAGGCTTCAAGTGATTTAAAATCCCACACTCATCAATACACCCAACTTAATTTTTTTGTTTATCCTAGAGCAAATCAAGAATTCAATCATTTCAATAAAGGTGTCTACAATGATGTTTCTTGTGAGCCAACATGCAAGTGTTATCACAAGGCTAATATCAAATTTATGTAGCTCTCAATTATGCTAAAAAAAATCCTCAAATGATGTCTAGAAGTTATCAACCTATTTTCAACCAGACGCTCAGTTAATATATACAAATTTCAAAGGAGAACCCTCTATCAGATTTACAGATTATAATTACGAAGCTCAAAAAGACTTTGAAGAAGAAAGTATTGTAGAAGAAATGTCTTTAGAAGGGATGAATATAGAAATAATATTAGAAGAAGATTTTGCAGTATATTTGGCTATAGAAAAAGTTAAAGAGATAAGTAAAAATAATAAGAATAAATTATTTACATGCAAAGGATGTAAATTAAAAGACTTAAAAATAGAACAAACAATATCTCATTTTAAAACATGTGAACGAAGAACCGATAATAAAGGATATATATTAGAAAAAAGTTTACAAGATAAATTAGAAAAAGCTAATAATATAATGACAGAAATACAAGAAAATGATAGTGAAATATCTGAGTTAGAATCTATACTAAGTCAAAAATAATTAATGGAAACAGCAAGTTCTAGTAGTCCATTCCAGAGAACAAATGAACAAGGTTATACTGCAGATAATAATACAGGAACTATACCACGTAGAAGAGTATATAGACAAGGAGATACTCCAATAACAGAAGTTAAACCTATGGGAAAAAGAATGCCTATAGAAGAGCCAATAATACTCCAAGAAGGAGGAAGTAAAGGAAAAATGTAAAATATAGCGGCACATGACCCACAAAGATGGAATTCAATAATAGACTTATGGAAAGGAATAGTAGTAGCATATTTCATAAAAAAATTATGCAGAAACTAATGCCGAAACAATGTACAAATACTTAGAAACATTCCTAGGAGAATCAACCAAAGCTCTATGGAAAGCTTATAAAGTAGAATTCCCATCAGAATTTCAGTATTTAGTATCATTAGGACCAAACCCATATAATTTTACAAATAAAATACATACTTTAATAACAGGAGAAGACCCAAATAGTGGATTAGTAGCCTTACAATGAAATACAGTAATAAAACTAGAACAATTAAGTATAAATAATTGGTATTATATAAAGAAATTCTTAAATGATTATTTCTATTATTGTACAATTAGCGGAAATGCCTTTGATCAAGATTTAGGTAAAAAGTTATTCAACAAACTACCAGGAGCTTTAGGAAGAGAAATAGAGGAAAGATGGACTAAAAGAGAAGGAGTAGCACAAAACCCTCAAGCAAAATGGTCAATAGGACATAAAATACAACATATAATGGAAATATTACAAGAAAAATGTACTAATTTACAAATACAAAAACAATTAAAACAAAATGAAATGAATTTCTGCAAAGACATAATATATACAACCAAAAATTATGATAAAAATTAATATAAAAAGAAAAAGTATAAAAAATACAACCCATAGAACAATAAGAGATATACTAAAAAAGGATATTTTCTTAGAAAATCTTCAGCAAGAAAACCATTTTTAAATAGGGACAGACATGTTAGGAAATATAGAACAGATAGAAATTATAAAAATAAATTAGAATGCTTTACATGTGGAAGTATAGAACATCTAGCAAATACTTGTTCTAAAAGATATAATGCTAAGACTAGAAATGCTCAATTAGTAGAAAAATTTAACGAAGCATTATTAAATGTAGATGAATACATGTCAGATAATGAAAGCATTTACTCTATAGTAAGTATTGATATAGACGAGAATAACAAAGAAGAAGATTCTTCTAATTCAGAAGGAGAAGAATTAATTAATGAAATAGGAATAGAAAATTTAAATATAGATGACCTAAAAATCAATTTTATGAATATAATAGAATGTGAACATAATTTTGAAAAGGATACAGGATTAGACAGTAATCCATGTAATTGGTGTAATGGTATCCAAGTAAATACAAAAGAGCTAAATGTAATAAATGCTTTATAGAAGGATATATAAGTTGTATAGAAACACAGTTAGGGATAATAACTCAGAAAAGGAAAGATGTACATACAAATAAACCTCTAATAAATTTAAAAATATTAGTATTAGAAGCAAAAGTTAAAGAATTAGAAGAAAGAATAGTAAGATTAGAAAAAGGAAAAAATGTTGAACAAGAACTACCACTAGATAATCAAAAAATAATGAATGAAGAATCAAATACTTTAATATGTAATGAAGATAAAAATATAAATACCGTTAAAAATATTAGCAAAACTTCAAATCGGAAAATATGAAATAGAGACTTTAGCATTAATAGATTCAGGATGCACCAAAAGTATTTTAAATAAAAAAATTGTACCTCCGGAATTAATAAAAACTTTAGAAAAACCACTTGCAGCTATGCAAATGGTTGGAACACATAATATATATATAGATAAAGCTCAAATAAATTTTTTAAATACTTGTTCAAAATTCTATAAACCTACCTATAAGATGGATAAAATATGGATACGAGATTTAGATATAAGAGTAGATTTTGTGTTAGGACTAGATTTCATACTATACAATAAAGGAGGAACTTTAATAACAAAAGACCGGATACTTTTTATGAAAAACATTACTTATACTTCTGTCTTAACTGATAAATTAATATTAAAGTAAGACATGGAGAAAAATGTTGCGAAAATTGTGAAAATAATATACAATGTACTAAAACGAAATGCAATATATTATATGAGAATATATAAGAAATAGATAGAGAAGATGAGATAGTCAATAAAAATTATGTTCTAAAAGAAATGGAAACAGAGTTATATAATTTTAAGACTGGAATTCAAAAAATAGGACAAATAAAAAACCAACAAGATCTAGATAATATAGTAAAAATTTTAGATCAAATAGAAATAATAGGAGAAAAGCCTCTAAAGTATTGGGAAAATAATCATGAAGTATGTAAATTAGATATAATAAATCCAGAATATATAATAAAAACAGCCTCAATAGAAGCTAGAAATTAAGATCTAGAAGATTTTAGAATACAAATTAAAGAACTATTACAATTAGGAGTAATAAGGAGATCTACTTCAAAACATAGATCTGCAGCATTTATGGTAAGAAATCATAGTGAAATAGTTAGAGGAAAAGCCAGAATGGTTATAAATTACAAAAGACTAAATGATAATACTAAAACAGACGGTTATAAATTACCAGATAAAACAGAGTTAATAAATAGAATCCAAGGAAAAACATTTTTTAGTAAATTTGATTGTAAGTCAGGATACTGGCAGATAAAAATGCACCCAGATAGTATAGAATGAACAGCTTTTACCTGTCCTGAAGGACATTTTGAATGGTTAGATATGCCATTTGGGTTAAAAACCGCACCTCCAATTTTCCAAAGAAAAATGGATAAAATATTTGGAGAATACAAAAAAATTATTTTAATATATGTAGATGATATTTTAGTATTTAGTAAAAATAGAAAAGAACATTTAGGACACTTACAAACGGTTTTTAGGTTATTTGTTAGTAATGGAATAATAATTAGTAAAAGAAAATGGAATTATGTAAAAACTACATAAACTTTTTAGGAATTACTTTAAGAGAAGGAAAAGTTAAGTTACAACCTCATATAGCGAAAAAGACTCTAGATATGCCAGATAAATTAAATAATTTAAAAGATTTACAAAAATTCCTAGGAATAATCAACTATGCAAGACCATTTATTAAGGATCTAGGAAAAATAGCAGGACCATTATACTCTAAGACAGGAACTAAAGGATAAAGAAACTTTAATATTGAAGACATAAAATTAGTACAAAAGATAAAAGAAAAAAGAAAAAATATTCCCGATCTTAATATGCCATTAGAATCAGACTATTTAATAATAGAGACAGATGTGAGTTTTGATCGATGGGGCGCAGTATTAAAATTCTAGACCACAGAAATACAGTTCTAAACAAGAAGAAAAATATGTGCTTATCAAAGTGAAAAATTCAAAGAAAAGAGTAATAAAGCTAGTATAGATGTTGAATTTTAGCTGTAATATATGGATTAAATAGTTTTAGAATTTATATTCTAAATAAACCAGAAATATTAATAAGAACAGATTGTGAAGCTATAGTAAAATTTCATCAAAAAATTAAAAATAAAACTAGTAGTAGAAGACGATGGCTAAATTTTTTAGATACTATATCAATTTATCATTCTATAATTTTTGAGCATATCAAGGGAAATGATAATAGTATTGCAGATCAACTAAGTAGATTACTGATCAAAGTTTAAATTTTACAGAATGATACCACTACTACCAGACAAAGGTAAAAGAGTTCAACCTTCAACCTCAGACTTTGCAGACTCTTACAGACAGACAATGTTATCAAATTTACATTTTAAACCTTTAGATAAAATTGATTATGTCAGAATAGAAAGACTGCAGTTTGGACAATAAAACCTAATAGCATATGAGCCGTCCAATTGGACATTCAGACATTTGTCTAATTGCCAACTAGACAAACAGCAAACATGTCTTATAGATAATATATGGATAACACATAACAAAAAAGACACTAAATATGTAATTGTTGATTTAAATACTTTAGAATATTATTTTACTAGCAAAAATAAAGAAAATAGATTTAAATATTTTGTGGTAATTCATGGTACAAAAAATGGTGTTTTTCAGACATGGATAGAAGTTTTAGACTCTATTAAAGATTTTCAAAAACATCTTTTTAAAGGCTATAATGATTTTACAGAAACTTTAGACTACGCTAGAGGAATATTAGAGCCAAATTACTATATTTCTCCAGCCCTTAGACAAAACCCAGATAAAACTCCACAATACAACATCCAAAAAGATACAGACAAAGTAATATTTTGTGATCATTGCTCGTCCATGACCGAAGCATTCAAAAGGCTAAATCTAAGAAATGAAGCTCTAATGCAAGAAAATGCCAAGCTCAGGGAAAAACTCCGAAGAATGGAAAGCAAAGGAAAGACTAAACAAGATGTACAAACTCAGACAGATATACAGGGTTTTCCATCCCAGATAAAAATGGATGAGATGGGTGTGCATTCCCCACTGAATGTTAAGAAATCCACTGTATCGGATGAAGATACAGCTAGTCCATTTCAAACGGTAGCCGGTAAAGACTTATCAAATCCGTTTATGGCTATCACCTTGCCAGAAAGTGAAAACGAAGAATGTTCATCTTCTTCTCAGAACAGACGAAGACTACCGATATCTTTTACCCAAAACCTGAAATTAAAAACTAAAAAAGCCCAAAAAACTAAAAACATAGAATTTCTAATTACCAAAACAGTACAAAAACTACTCAAACAAAAACAGGAACAAGACAAATACATGATTAAAGACCCAAGCTCAATTCCAAGCCCAAAAAATAGTCAAGAAAATTCAGAAGAAAACTTAGAGACAATACAATTTGCCTAAGATCCTAAAGATGATGATTCTGGAATGAGTTTTGATTCTATAGCATTACATAATTTAGACACATAAAATTTGTGTGTATATATATATATATATATATATATATATAATCAAGAAATGTTCTTCTTTAGACAATCTGTGAGTCCCACTTTACTCACTACAACACATCTATGGAAAAACTGTTGGGGCACACTTAAAAAGATAAAACGGATACCAGACTACAAGGACAATAATGCAAGAAAAGGAACATTATTTCACGTGACGATGGGGGCCCAGATGTGTACTCGGCCAAGATGATAAGATTCGTTTTTCATTTGAAATCCGAAGTTTGAAGTCCGAAGACCTCTATAAAAGCAGGTATAATCAAGAAAAGAAAGGCAAGGCGAAGAAAATCACAACCAGAAATCCCAAAATCGTTAACCTTTTTCCTCTTTAAAATTACCTTTTATAAAAAAGTTTGTGTTAAGAGAATAAAAGGATATCAATTTTTGTTTAAAAGTTTGTGTAGAGTTATTTCGGAAGCTTTTCGGATTTTCCGAAAGGAAAACTTTACTCTGTTCTAAATAATGTAAGTTTTCATATTTAAGTTTTTAGTAAACTTCCCATATATGTAAATTATGTGTGTTTATTTCATATGTTAATTATTTGATAAATTCATGTAAATTTATAAATACAATCATGAATCTATATTACTTAGTATATGGTTAGTTTCTTAGCCTCTTAAAAGTATCGATGGATTAACCTGTAAATTCCTAGGACATTGTCAAGTTAAATGTTCTTAGAGAAGAACTATGAATGACCAAATCCGGGGTGTGGTTAAAGAAGATAACTTTTAAGAGAAAGAAATGAACAGTAATAATAGATTCATGAATGGACAAAGTCCATAAAAAAAGGGAGAAAAACTAGAAACTAATATGATAATTACATAATAGAATAAGAGAGTAAAGAAGTACTAAGTACGATTGTATAATTTAAAAATTCTAACGAACTTATCAAAATTATTTTATTGAAAAAACCCCACTCACACTTATTTTGGCTCGTCGAGGGAAAACCAATGGGGGAAATATCCGGCTCAAGGCCCATCCTCCATTCAAATTTGAAACTATTACCCTAAAAAGGACCAACACACTTTCCCTGATGCTTTAACTCTATGCCTGAAGAGGAAGGAGGCATGGACGACCTTGATCAATTTCAATCATCCTTGCTGCTAGGTGGAGTGATCCCTCATCGTCAAGGACGACTTTAGCGTGCTAGTGTAGAGAAAAGCCAACTAGAATCACAGAAAGGCTGAAGGAAATTGTACCTGGGGAGGAAGACGCGTCGGGAGTGGACTGCACGTCGCCGCAGCACGCACTAGGAAGGTTGAACGAAACGGGGGGCATTTTGAAATTATTTCTCACGCCGTGAAGTTGGTGTTGGAACATTTATCGCAACACTTCTTCTGGGTTCCTTTTCTTTTGGAAGAGAAAAATAAATAATTGGCGGGATCAATTAGTATAGAGTGGACTGGGGTTTAAACGGGCTCATCATTTGATCTTTGAGTTGCATTGAAAGTGCAATTGGGTCTAAAATTTTGGATTTAAAAAAAAGGCTGATAGGTTAACAATTGGTTGATTTTGTCATTGCAAAATTCCAAATAGAATTCAAAACTTGGCCGAATTTTGCTAATCGATTAACAAGCTTCTAAAATCCAACAATAAAATAATTAACTAGATTATGAAATAATTAATTTTAGTACAAACTAATTAAATTTTTGTTTAAATCAAAATGAATTAGTAGAATATTTAACTAAAAATCAGAATCTTTTGAGATGATTTTCGAATATTTTATAAAATAAATTAGTTATATAAACACATATAAAATATATATTATTTAATGATAACAAAGTAAACTAATAAATTTAACTATAAGCTAAGGATCTAAACTACAAGTTACTAAAACTAATTTATTAAAGCGTTAAGTAAAACTAAAAATCTCTTTGAGACGATTTTTGAATATTTCATAAAAGAATTAATTATATAGAAACATGTAAAATATATCATTTCAACATTACAAAAAATCGGCTAACACTACTCTAAAATGACTGAAAAAAACATTTGAATATTATAAGGTCAACTATTTCAACTTGTTTGAAATTTAAGAAGTTCGTGAATTAATTCTTATCGGGGAGGATCAAAATTGAGTGTCACCAATAGTAACTTCTCATACTAGGTCTGGTGGATATCTACGTCCTCAATTATGGCAAAAAATTTCCAGTCAAGGTTGTTCAAATGCTCAAAAATCTAAGTTCAACAAGAATAGAGTGTCTAACTTTAAGCCTCAATAAAGGAATGATAATGGATTTTTCTATCGCTTGTACTAGCTATGGAAATAAATATAATGAAAAATGTTTAAATGGCATGGATGGTTACTTTATTTGTCGGAAGAATGGTCACAAGACGAGATATTGTTCATTAATTTCTAGCTACTAAGGGAAGGGACGCTAGGAAAGTTCAGCCTAGTAATTTTGATGTGGATGCCTTCGAAATAAAAATCAATTTTATGCTCTTCAAACTTAACATGATTACGAAGATTCTATAGATGTTGTAATCAGTATGTTAGAAACTTTTTCATGTTGATGTTTATTATTTACTTTGATTTGGGTACTAACCTACCCTATGTTGCTTCATTCGATGTTGGTCCCAAAATTCTTTCTAATCACTTTCATGTCTCTATTATTCTTATTGGTGATTCTATTGTTTCTAAGAAAGTGTATAGAAATTTTCTTATTTTAATTTTTGATAGATATATTAATGTTGATCTTGTAGAGCTTGATATGTTAGATTTTGATGTTATTCTTGAGATAAATTGACTTCATGCATTTTATGCTTCTATAGATTGTAGGACCCGATTGGTCACTTTCAAGGTTCCAAATGAACCTATCATGTCATGAAAAGGGGAAAATTATGTTTCTTTATGGTCAATTTACATCTTGCCTAAAATCTAGAAAGATAATTTCTAAGGATTGCATTTATCATCTAGTAATTTTTTGCAGATCCAATGAGGAAAAAATATTTCAACTGATAATTATTTAATATCAAATCAAATGAAAAATAAATTTGAACAAAGTTGCTAGTAAAAGAATTTGCAAAATGTCAAGTGTTGTTGACAAAAAGAATTCACAATAATATTTTGAATGTATCACGAAATTTTTTAAAAAAATATTTGGTGATTTACGTAGTCTTGCTGAGAGTATGATAATTACACATATTTTTTATATGAATTGTGTTAATTTTATATCCTTTTTTTAGCAAAAGAAAGGGAGTTGTTAAGTTAAAAATGCTTGAAAGTTTTTTGTTAAGAATAATAATTTAAGGACGTAATTTAAGTCAAGATATAGCTTAAGGATAGATTTGATCAAAACTTCTGTAAAAGATTGTAACAGTCTTTCATAGATGATTTGCCGAGTTAACGTCTCAAACAGTCACTCAACTTTGAGAATTTATCTAACAAAATCATTAAATTTGTAACTACATCTTAAATACTTTTATCAACTGAATCACTCAACTCAAAACTTTATTCTTTTAAAATTAAAATGGATCATTTTATTTTTTACGGAAAAGGCTCAAACATATCCCTAAACTATTCTAAATAGCTCATATATAACCTTAAACTTTATTTTGGCTCAAAACTACCCTTCGCTTCATACTATTGGGTCAAAAATACTCTTCTTATTAACGGAATTTGTTAAATGTCATATGGATGCCACATTGCATGCCAATAGGATTCCACTGCCACGTAGACTAAATAGAAAAGGTCAAAATACCCTTAAACTATCTGAAATAGTTCATATTTACCCTTAAACTATATTTCGGCTCAAAACTACCCTTCCCGTCAAACTATTGAATCAAAAGTACCCTTCTTATCAACAGAAGTTGTTAAATGTCATGTGGATGTCACATTGCATGACAATAACGTTCCACTGTCACATAGACTAAATCCCTATATCCTAATTAATTCCCCCCTCATTTTATTATTTCATAAATGATATATTCACCCGTTCTCCCTCATTTCTCGGCTAGGGTTTCATACTTTTCTTCGTGGCTAGGTTTCAAAGTGGATATTTATGCTTGTATGCTAGTAAATATTTTTTCTTATTTTATTATGTTTACGATTTCAAAGCATGATAGTTAGAATTTTCACAACTTTCCCCTAATTTCGCAGCTAACGCTTCGTAGCTTTCTTCGGGGCTATGTTTCAAAGTGGATATTCATGGTTGTAGGTTAGTAAATATTTTTTCTTATTTTATTACGTTTACGATTTCAAAGTATGATAGTTAGAATTTCACAACTTTTCCGTCAATTTGCGGTCAAGGTTTTATAACTTTCTTCGGAGTTGAGTTTCAAAGTGGATTTTAGTGATTGTAGACACAATAAAATAAGGAAAAAGTTTACTAACCTATAACCACGAATATCTACTTTGAAATTAAGCGACGAAAAAAACTATGAAACCTTAGCCGCGAAATGAGGGAGAAGCGGTGAAGTCGTTTCTGAAAAATAATGAAATGAGGGGGAAATGAGTAATTAAAATTCAGGGATTTAGTCAATGTGGCACATGTGGAAATCAACAACTTCCGCCAATAAGAAGGTTATTTTTGACCCAATAGTTTGACGGGAAGGGTAGTTTTGAGCCGATATATAGTTTACGGGTAAATATGAGTTATTTCGAATAGTTTAAGGGTACTTTTTACCCTTTTCTTTTAGTTTATGCGGCAGTGGAAATCTATTGGGGTTCCATGTAGCATTCATGTGACATCCGCATGGCATTTAACAATTTCGGTTAATTAGAAGGGCATTTTTGATCCAATAGTTTGACGGGAAGAGTAATTTTGAGCCAAAATATAGTTTAAGGGCATATGTGAGCTATTTCAAATAATTTAAGGATATTTTTAACCCTTCTTCGCAATTTTTATTTGGACGGATAAGACATGTCACTTTTTTAAAAGAAATTGTTCCCAAAAAAAATACTATCTTATATTCTTATTACAATTAAAAATTATTTCAGTTTTAAAAAGAAGTTATTCTAAGTAAAACAATTTTCAATCACATAAATGTTCAAAGATTATTTTACTAGAATCTTTAAAAAAAATTGATCGATTAAATACCATATCAAGTAAAAAATATTTACTCAAACTAAGAACATTTTATTACCACAGTGAATTATAGTGTTCGATACTCTACCATCAATATCAATATTGAATATTATCAAAAATAAAAAATAAATTGGCAATTAACAAAAGGTGAATAATCGACTTTTTATCGAACTCACGTAACTACTTGCTATAAGTAGCAAAAATGCTTTTTCTTTTGTTGAAAAAATTATAGAATTGAAGTAGATAAGGATTCGAAGAGTGTCCTTGTCCTATATGGCAGCAAATAATGCCACTATTAGGACACGCGGCATTATTTAGGTTAAAATCGTATTTAGGTTAAAATTTAGTTATAACGATAATTTTTTATACATTATATTTGTATGAGTTTATATTTTAAATTATTTTATTTAATTATTTTTTATTTAAATCCTTAAATTTAATGAAACTAAGTATTTAAAACTTTTTTTGTTTTGTGTGAACTTTAAATATTAATAACATATCATCATTCACATTACATTTAAAATGACATATTACTTATCATTATTTTTTTAAAAAAATAATAATTTTTTTCTTTCTTTTGACTTTATTTCTCGTTATTGTATAGAAAGCTCAGAATATAAGATGAAAAGACAAGAAGTATAAGATAGAGGCGATAATTTTCTTATTCAAGTATAAGATAGAGGAGATAATTTTCTTATTCAAGTATGTCATACAATGGTGAATGATATCACTATTTATAGTGTTGAGATATCATAGTCAAAGCTCACCTTGAAATTTACATAGTTATCATCAAGGTTCATATCACCTTGATATCTTATCACATTAGAAACACTAATACATGAATCCAATTAATTATTGGATAACTCTAATGGATCATCTACATATACAATGGATTTACAACACTCCCCGTTGGATATCCATAGATTATGTGCCTCGTTAAAACCTTACTAGGAAAAACCCAGTGGGAAAAAGCCTAATGAAGGAAAAAGAGTACACATATCTCATAATACGCTTTGAATGTTGCCTCGTTAAAAACCTTACCAGGAAAACCCAACTTGGGACAAAACCATAGTTAAGGAAAAGAGTACAACGCGTATTTCGCTCCCCCTGATGAAAACTTTACTTGATATCTCGGAGACGGCGCATTCCAATCTTGTATCTCAACTTCTCAAACGTTGATGTTGGCAATGCCTTAGTGAATAAATCAGCAAGATTATCACTTGAACGAATTTGTTGAACTTCTATCTCACCATTTTGTTGAAGATCATGCGTGAAAAAGAACTTTGGTGAGATATGCTTTGTCCGGTCTCCTTTGATGTATCCTACTTTCAATTGAGCTATACATGCAGCATTATCTTCGTACATTGTGGTTGGTATATTCTTTTTCAAAGAAAAATCACACATTTCCAGAATGTGATGGGTCATTGATCTCAACCAGACGCACTCTCGACTTGCTTCATGGATGACTATTATTTCTGCATGATTTGAAGAAGTGGCTACCAATGTTTGCTTCATTGATCGCCAAGATA